ATTCCCATTGTCTCTTAAACTAGAAATCATTACAAATGCTGTTAACTACCGGCATTGTTAATTTGGAGGCAACTGGGAGAGAGTTTCCTAGAAAAGGAGAGAGAGAAATTTAAAGCTGTGATTTTGCCAAAATTTAATCTCTGTCTGGGGACTCAGAGAGAGTTTCGTAATTAATTTTTGCAGCTTCACAAGATAGAAAGAATACTTACGCTGGAGTCCACCAGGCTTGAGTTAGCAGTGTGGTGTCGGCATGGTATTGGGGTGGACTAGCCACCATTTTCTTTATCCTTATCTCAGTTTGAAAGGAAAAACTCTCCTCCAGAAAAGAAGGGTCTGAAGGAGTGACTGGGGAGGAGTAGCTCAACTCACAAAAGTGTAAGAGCAAGTGAGGCCTCCCTGTCTTCTCCAGTGGAGCAAAGCACCACAGCACTGCATTGTTCTTAGGTTAAAAACAACCACCAAAAACAAACAAACAAACAAACAAATAAATAAGTGACTGAATAAATGAATAAATAAATACATAAATAAACAAATGGAGTCTCTTCTCTTCAGCTTTCCTCATTCGTGATTCTATCTTCAATATATTTCTTTTTTAAAATTCAAGTTGATTGATGCACTGTGGTGAATTCATCCCTTCTTAGCAGTTTTATAGTATTTTATAGAATTGTGTTATGGTTCCTTTTCCTGATAACCACTTTCAAATTGAACATTGTTCATTTCAATAGAGGTGCCAAGAGATTCTCTATAGTTACCATTTTCATATCCACAAATATGTGAGTTTCCTTTTTTTGGCAATGTCAGTCCATTCACCTCCATTCTGCACCCCTCTCCTTTTGCTTATTGGCATTGAGATCTAAGGATAAAGAAATATTTTCTCACAGTGGGTAAACTCTAATCAATCCTGAGTTTCATATTATCTCTTTAGCCTTCTGAGTGCAAGTCAAAGCTTTTCTCATTCCCAGGAGCAAGAAGACTGCACTTCACATTTAAAGAACTCATTAGTTTTGTTTGGTACTAGTACATAGCAAGGAGTAGAGCACAGAAAAAAAGAAAATAATAATAACCTCTTACTTCTGGTATAGGCTCAGTTTGAACCCTCCAAGCTTAAGAAAGAGCTGAGAATGATATGCCTAAACTCAAGAGCTTTGGAATTCTAATTCTGTCTTTTGTCTACAATATTTTTAAACAAGTCACTTAAGCTCTCTTTCTCTGCCACAAAAAGTGAGATCAGTGCCGCACATTCCCCAAATTCATCTGTGGAATATAAGTAATGTTGGTAAAGAATGTAGGGATGGAAAGAAAGTCTCAAGCACAAAGTGGTATTTTCAATGTTGTGCCTCTGAGACCATCAGTCAGTTGTTCTCTCGGCTGGATTTGGGATTTGGGAGTCCTGTGAAGGCCAACTATCACATTTAGTTTCTTCACAAGTCATTGATCTAAGGAGCTTTTAGACACCGCTTAGAAATATTCAATCTTCCTTCTTCTTGGACGGAGGCTCCAGTGCTTGTAACAGACCACTCACCAGGGACAATTTGAAATGCTCCAACGTGGTGTTAATAATAATTTGAAATAGAGATGTAGGGGATTCCGAGAGGTAAAAATCATAGGCCAGTAAGGCAACCCTTCCAATTTTTCTTAATGGTAGATTATCTCTAAAAATATATTTTTCATAATTGCTGATAAAAAAAATCCAGTAGTAATTACAGTTGCCTGGAGTTATGGGTTATGAGTTATTCATCACTGCCTCCCAGTTTTACTGAAGTATCCTACAAAGCAATGGGAGTAGAGCACTTAACACTGCACCTTCTTGAACAAAAGATATTGCCTGAATAATCAATGTTACTTAGCTAACATTAAGTCCCATTCCCTATATGTGGGGGCCACATCAATTATAAGCCTCAGAAGGCTCTCAGTGTCTTTATATACATTACATGGCAGAGAGGAAGCCTCCTCTTGATCTCTACCTAGTTCTCCCATGTTCAGCACTGGCCCTCTAGCACCCCTTTATATAAACATTATCCCAACATTGTGTTTGGAGTAAGGAGAGAGACCTGGATTTGAATTCAGCCTCTAATTGCTCTATGATGATTGGGTAAGTCATCTAACCTCTCTGATCCTCCTTGAGCTTCTCACCTCTAAAATAGAAACAATAGTATCTGAGTAGCTGCCTAACAAAGGGTTCCTATGAGGCTCAAATGAGTAGGTGAAGAGTTTTATGAACCTTACTGTGCTATGTAAATTCCAGCTATAATTATCATTTCTTGGGCTTGCTAAGGAGCTTTCCGATAGAAGAACCAGAGAACATTTTTTTATGATCTTTTTCTCCTTTATATCTGCAACCCACCCCAAGGACCCCTATGGTAGCCTCAGAAAACGCTTTATGGAAGGTCATTTTTTCACCTTAAATAGTGTGCTTGTTAATAGGGCTTCATGTGTATGGTGAGAGCTGACTGATTGCCTAGTTTCTAAGGCTTCTACATTTATAATGTACAAAGGACTTTCCTTATAACAACCCTATGAGGTAGGGAGTAAATTTTTTTCCCATTTTACAAATGAAGAAACTGAGGCTTAGGTAAATCATTTAACTTAGTTGAGGTCATTTAGCTAAAAAATGACAGAACTAAGGCTTGAACCCAGGTCTTCCAAGTTTTAGGGCAGGACTCTTTCCACTACAACGTACTGCTTCTAAAACTGTAAATAAAGTCCATAGAAGTTTGGACAATAGGAGTGCTTCAATGGTATGTGCTTCTGGCATGCATATGCCTTTTTAATAATAACAACTAACATTTATATAGCATTTACTATGTACCAATTACTGTGCTAAGTGCTTTGTAATTATTATATCATTCTATCTTCACAACAACCCTGAGAGGTAGGTGCTATTATCCCCATTTTATAGACAAGAAAACTGAGGCAAACAGAGGTTAACTTGTCCAAGGTCACACAGGTAGTGTCTGAGGCTGGATTTCAACTCAGGTCTTCCTGACTCCAGGCCCAGCACTCTATGCACTTCACCACCTGTCTCTGTATTCTTGTCCATAAAGGTGACCAGTGAGGCCAAAATTTGATGAATCCAAAGCCATAGAGTGTAAATTTCTACTAAATGTATGCCAGGGCATATACTTAGGGGTATAATTAAACCTATTTTCCTATCTGAGTGGTGAGTATAAAAAAATTGGTAAACAACTTTGTCCATTCAAGGAACTTTAACAGAATTTTTCAAGCAAGAAAAGTCTGCCCTATATTGATGTTATTTTCCTGCCACAGCAAAAGCAGAACTTAGGAATTTCTGACTGTATCACCATGGGAAGAAGAGCAGAGACAGTCTCTAGATGTCTCTAATATGCCTCTCCATAACATACCTAACCATAACCAACATTTATAGAATGCCTTCAAGTGTGCAAAGCATTTTGCCTCCATTGGTTCATTTGACCCTTACAACAACCTTGGTAAGTAGGTACTGCAGGTATTATCCTCACTTTACAGATGAGGAAAATGAGGGTCAGAAAGGTTAACTGATTGGCCTACAGCACAATCTGACTTTTTAAATATTATATATATAATACATATATATAAAAACATTCTTTTTAAAAAATTTTCAGTTCCAAATTCTATCCCTCCCTCCAGACCCTTCCCCACCCATTAAGAAGACAAGCAATGTGATATCAATTATACATGTTCAATCATACAAAATATATTTCCATATTAGCCATGTCACAAAAATCAAAGAAAAATAAATCTACTTCAATTTATACAAATAAATAAATATAGAAATATATTAAGAAAGAAAGAAAGATACTCCAGTTTATACAAATATACTTCAATTTGTACTGAGAATTCATCAGTTCTCTTTCCGGAGGTAGACAGCATTTTTTTTCAACATGAGGCCTTCGATTGTCTTGGATCATTGTTATTGATCAGAGTAGCTCAGTCTTTCACAGTTGATCATCCTTACAATATTGCTTTTATTATGTACAATGACCTCCTGATTCTGCTCACTTTACTCTGCATCAATTCACGTCTTCCCAGATTTTTCTGAAAGCATCCTGCTCATCACTTCTTATACTACAATAGTATTCCATCACAGTCATATACCACAATTTGTTCATCTATTCTCTAATTGATGACCATCCCCCCAATTTCCAATTCTTTGCTATCACAAAAATAGCTGCTATGAATATTTTTGTGTATATGGATCCTTTTCATTTTTCATTTATCTATTTGGGATACAGACCTAGTAATGGTGTTGCTGGGTCAAAGAGTATACAGTTTTATAGTCCTTTGGGCATAGATCCAAATTGTTTTCCAAAATTGTTGGACCATTTCACAACTCTACCCACAGTGCATTGACACATCTGTCTTAAGCGTCAGAAGCTTGATCAGAAAAAAGAATCTCTTTACCCCTAGTTCACTATTCTATACACTAAACCACATTGCCTCTCTAAGGGAAGTCTTATTTCAAGGAAATGAAGCAAAACAACCTTTTATTTTTTTTTCTGGAAATTCAGCAGCTTAACGAGTCTGTCTTCAGGCTTTTATATGGAAAACTTGAAGCTTATGCATCTTTTTTGTTTCTTTCTGAGTATCTCTTCATTTACTCAGGAAGGAAAATAAGCAGAGCTGGAAACTCAATAGTCTAATATAGGGTAGACACTGAGTTATTAACAAAAGACATAACATATAGACCACGTAAATATGCCAAAATAAAACCAGTTTTGTTTATGACCACCTAAATACTGAGTTTTATTAACATATGATTTTTTCAGTGTAATTTCACCTTAAAATAGCTATTCAGTTATTTTTCAATAACTATTACTATACTTTAGCTGTATTTTTAATGATGAATTATATGTCAAAAATTTTTGGAATGCCAGTTGTGGCACAGTGGAGAGATTGCTGGTCTTGGCATCAGGAAGACCTGTGTTCACATACTGCCTCAGATGCTTTGTGACCCAGGTTAAGCTACTTAACCTCTCTCAGCAACAGTTTTCCTATCTGTAAAATGAAGGTTTTAATAATAGCACCTACCTCACAGGTTTACTATGAGGATCATATGAAGATAACATACAGGAAGCATAGTTATCAACCTTAAACTGCTATAGAAATGTAGCCATTATTGCTTTTATTAAAGTATGCTCAAATACCTTAAGGAAATAGAAAAGCACTTAAAGATGTCAGGCTTCCCCCAGAATTAAAGGTTTATATTTTTAATACCAACATATCATTCACTTTATTTTCAATATTGGAGTGGTCTTTTACATCAGGTCAAATATACTTAGGAGCTTATGGTGGTATACGTTGTAAGAAACTGGTCCAAATCTAATTTCTGCCAAGTTGCTTTCTATTTTTCGCAAGCTTTCTTGCCAAACAGGAAGCTATTCCCAAATAATTTATGTATTAAAGTTTATGAAACTTTGGTTGTTGAATTTGTTTCTGATTCTTTCTCATTAAATTTGTTCCACTGATGGCACTTTCCCATTTCTTTTTAACATGTAACAAAGAGTTTTGAGTATCATTGCTTTGTAATACAGTTTAAGTTCTGAAAGAGCCTCCTCCATTTAGTCATTATATCGGGAGTTCAGAAGAGAAGAGAGATCTAATACCAGAGCATATGGCCAAAAATGTAATATCTGCCAATAGGAGCCATATTTCTGTAAAGAAGATAGAAAGCACATATGAGGAAGACATATAGGTAAAGGGGAATTTGTTAAGTTACAATAGGTATTCTAAAAAGCACAACAGAACAGGAAACCATAGGAAAATAGGGATCTGAGTGAGCTGAATTGGAAAGACAAAGTAAGGAGTGGCAGAATGGAAAGGAGTTTTTGCCTCACTATGAATTATATTTATATATCATAGTATTTGCCTATCAGAAGATCTGAGCACTTAAAACATTACAAATCCAGTCCAATCCACTTCAGTTTAATACAAAAGTGCCTACTCTGTGCAGGTCACTGAACTGGTCCTGTATATGAGAGAATATTCATAGTACTCAAAGTAGAAGTAACCCTACAGATCTGTGACCCCCTAATCAGTCAGTGAATAATTATTTATTAAATGCTTACTATGTGCCAGATACTGTGCTAAATGCTGATGACACAAAGAAAGAAAAAAGACAGTCCCTGCTCTCAAGAAACTCACAGTCTAATGGGGGAGACAACATGAAACCAACTATGTTCAAATAGGATGTAGACAAGACTGATTTGGGGGTAGTCTTGGAGAGAATTGGACTAGGCCATGTGTCCAGTCCCCTCCAGCTCTAGAATTCTGTGATAGCTCATTGTACAAGTGCCCCCTGGAAGAGTATAATTGGGCTTAAGGTTTTCTGACTTCTATAATTTTTTTGCTATTTCTTAATCATCCTTCTTTACTCCCAAACTGAGTAGCATGCTTATTTGTAATTTAGGTATCTAAGCTTTCTTATTGTCTTTCCCTTTAGTGTGTGTGTATGCGTGTGTGTGCGTGTGTGTGTGTGTGTGTGTGTGTGTGTGTGTGTGTGTGTGTGTGTGTGTCTCCTGGGAGGAGGGAAGTTGGAGTAGCTTTTTCTTATACCTGGAATACCACCAAGGTTGAGGGAACTTGCAGCTATGCCCACCTCCCTATGAGAGGGTTTCCTTTCTTTCAGGGCTTCAGTTGGTATTTTGTGCCACCGTACAGAGAAAGGAGGAAAGCCAGATGAATTGTTTCCTTAAAGTCTGTCCACCTTTGCTGCACTTCTTTGATTCTCATATTCTTCTGTAACCTGGGCAGTTATTTCCCTGAACCTACTGGAATCCATTTACCTGAAATTGAGTTTCTTCCTCTTCCTTGGATCTGGAGCTGTTGGTTTGTCATTGCTTTTCCTAAGGTGGTCAACACGGTAGATTGGATAGAGCCCTGACCTTGGGTTCAAATAGCAACTCTGTCACTTACTAGTCTGTGATCTCTTAAGCAAATCAAACATCTTGTGCCTCAGTTTTCTCATCTGTAAAATGTACAGGCTAAACTAATTGACTTTTAAGGTCCATCCCAGTTATGATTATCTAAAAACCTCTCTTAAACTGACCTCTCTTTCCAAATAATGAATTAATAACCTATGTACCTTAGTTAATTACTCCTTTTTGCACAAGAAATTGTTAGCAATGGACCCTATTGACAGGATATTTGCTGCTATATTAACTCTCTTGAAGATGTATCTAAGTAGCTAATGCCCCTTTCACTGAGCTGTTTTGTGACTTGGTAGCACTGGAGGAATTATTACTAGTGGTCACTGTGACTGGGGCAAAAAATCAATTAATTAGAGGGAGGGAAACTGAGAGACTGTGACATAAAGGACAGTCTGACTCTAGAGGCAGTCATGCCAAGAGAGGATATGGCCCACTTGGGGGAAGATAGGAGGAATAGAACATTGAGTGGGTCCTAAAAGAGCTGGGTGCCACAGCACCAAAATCCTGAAGATGGTGTCTCAGGATGAGTTGGGTCACTTACCACTGTGGGACTGTGAAGCAAGGTACAGTGATGGCATGTCCTGTCCCCTGGATGTCAGTACCCTGGGAAAAAAGCCCTAAATATAGAGCTATCTTACTTCCCACTAATTATATTTATGAGAAATGAGGTTCATCAAAAAGACTATGTTTATAGATGCTAAAACATGGGAAATTCCACTTGCATAATTCTGTGTCTTGTGACTCTTCTTCATTTTACCTTTATTTGCTTCTCCATCTACTGACATTGGGAGATAGATATATATATGTATGTATAGGTGTGTGTGTGTATACCATATATATATATACATATATATACACAGACACATACATAATCCCTTTTAAGCATAAGATAATGGGCAGAAGTGATTTTTAAGGAAATTCTTCAAAGACATTTGGGGAAAACAATTGATTGAGACATACTGTTTGTGTACTCAAAAGTTTGGGAGTGTTTACAGGATCTGTTTGGATGAAAGGAAAGTGTAATCATCATTAAATAGATGCCTTGTCTGCAAGGCTTTGATACCTCAATAATCACCTAGGAGGTTAGATCATTTTTGAACTAAAATAGTCTGAAAATGACATTTGCAGCAGGAAAAGTTCACTATCTTCAACATATGATCTATTTATTAAATCATACAGATCCTTAGCTTCTCCTCCCTCTTTCTGCAGGCTTTGAGGGTATTGGGAAAACTCTTATTAGGGACTGAATAAAGAAACGGAAAGACAAGGCAATGGAGATAAATCTTTTAACAATATCCTTACTTCTTTGACACGTTTTTTGAGGGAAGGGGTTAAAAATCCTGGTTAAGTTGGAGTTTCTGGATTCCCTGCTTGTGGATGTCACAGACATTTGAGATATTTTTGTCTGACCCTATAAATAATTGGTGCCCAATCTGACCACTGCCCTCGTTTCTTGCTAGTAGTCAGATGCTGCGGACATGGGAATCATGGCTCCTCAGAATGAAATAATCATCATAATAGCAATTCATGTTTATATAACATCTTAGTTTTACCAAGTACTCTCTTTATAACAGAGAGTTGCAAAGATATAAGAATATCAACAGAGAGCTGAGAAAAGATATGACAATATCATTATCTTATTTTAAGGAGACTGAAGCCCAGAGTAACTTAAATAATAAGGCCATGGTCTCACAACAAGTGAGAAGAAGTGGAACTGAGTTTCAGGTCTGTAAAATAGGTGCCATCATCACCCCACTTTACAATGAGGACATTAAGACTGAGAGAAGATAAGAGACAGTCTCAATGTCATGTAGCTACTTCTGAGGCAGGATTCAAACTCAAACGGAGGTAGATGTCCTGGAAACATTCTAAGAACAAGAAACATATTAACTGGAAATCATTACGGCAAGCAGAGCAGGGATTTTTTCCAGTATTCTGCCTAGAGGTATCAAAGTTTTTTACAAGAAAGATAATTTCCCCTAGTCCTTTAGAGTTGCTATTAATCTGACCCACCTAATTTTACTCTATCCTCCAAATACAGGAGTCTAGGAAGAAGAGTAGGAACTTTCAGACCTCAAAATATATTACTAAAATCCAATCTCTCCCTGGATATCCAAGTCCACATCACCAAGCACTGAAAGGACATTTCAAACTGGAAAATAGGAAAACCAAAATGGCATCATAATGTTGGGGTCAGGGTTGTGTCTGGCTGCGGCTGATCATATGAACCTTAGCTCAGAAGGCTTTACCACAGGTCAGGAACAAAGAGTCCATATGAACATTTGAAGTAGAGATATCTCTTAATTTGTGCATCTCAGTTTTCTTTTGAGCAGCCCCAATTTTGCTTTGCTCATAGAGCAGTGCCTTCTTTGATTTGGGCAGTCCCGTGCCAGTGTCACTGCATGTCTCACAATCAATACCAAAGTTATTCAGAGAGACTTTCAAAGTATCCTTACGTTGTTTCTTCTGACCTCTGTGTGAGCACTTACCTTGTGTGAGTTCTCCATTATTTAGTCTTTTAGGCAAACATACATTTGGCATTTGAACAATCAGGCCAGCCTTTCAAAGATGAGCTCTCTGCAGTAGAGTTTGAAAACCAGGCAGTTCAGCTCTAGAAAGCTCCTCAGTAGACTTTCAGTTTAGTAGATAACTTAATAGCTCTTCTCTCCCACAATTTTGGAGCCTCCCAAATGTTGAGCTAGATAATAAGAACAGATAAATAATATCTAACATTTGCATAGTGCCCTAAGTTTTGCAAGGTGCATTATAAATATTGTCTCACTTTACCCTCACAAAAAAACCTGAGAGGCAGGTGCTAATTTTAATCCCATTTTACAGATGAGGAAACTGAGATAGACTGGTTAAGTGACTTATTCAGGGCCATACAGCAAATAAGTGCCTGGTGCTGAATTTGAACTCCATCCAATTCTAACCACTATGCAACCTGGCTACCTAGGTGGAAGTCCTGTTAACATCTTAAACTCAACTTGAATTCTTTATTTTCCCCCTAAATATTCCCCCCTTCCTAAACTTCCCTATTTCTGTCAAATGCAGTCTCTCTACTCTCCTCTTCTCATAAGCTTCCTATAACCCTTAACTTCTCCCTCTCCTTCTTACCTCACATATCCGATAATTGCCAAAACTTACTGTTTCTTTCTCTAAAACATCTTTTCTTTTCACTCACACAACTACCAACTTAATTAAGACACTCATCATCTCTCACATAGATTATTGTAATCTAGCCTCCGAATTGCTCTCCCTGTCTTCAGTCTTTCACTGCTCCAGTCTATCATACACACTGTTGCCAAAATGGTTTTCCTTAAGTGTAATTCTGACTATATAACTCCCCTATTCAACCTAAGCTATCCTTAATTACTATTATAATTAATGTATAATATTGTATAAAATTTTATTTTATTATTTGTTTAATATACATTGTGTCTATATTATAACATTTCATATAAATAATTAAAATGTCATATATTATTATTAAGCTAAAGTTATCCTTTCATCTTCATTGGACATTATTCTCTCTCCCATACTTTTCAATCCAGTCAAATTGGCCTTTATATGTCCCTGACACGTAACATTTCTATCTTCCATGTCTTTGAACTAGCCCTTGCCCATGCCTGGGAATCACACCCTGCTTACCCCTGTGTCATAGAGGTCCTCTCTTCCTTTAAGCACCATTTTCTGTATCACCCCTATCCTAATGCCACCAACTAGTGCTTTTCCTTCCAAACTGCCTTGTATTTAATTGTTGTTGTTCAGTCATTTCAGTTTTGTCTGATGCTTTGTGACTCCATTTGGGTTTTTCTTTGCAAAGATGCTAGAGTGATTTGCCATTTCCTTCTCTAACTCATTTTACAGATGAGGAAACTGAGGCAAACAGGGTTGTGACTTCCACAGGTTCATGCAACTAGTAAGTGTCTGAGGCTGGAATTGAACTCAGAGAGATGAGTCTTCCTAATTCCAGAGCTGGCACTCTATCCGCAGTACCACCTAGCTGCCTTTTGTACTTTTTATATATTTGTATACATTTGATATGGATATATAGAACATATATGTATACATATGTATGTGTGTACATATATAGTGTAAATATAATATCTAGAACATATATATAAACATGAATGTATACATATTGAACAAATGCAAATATATACACACATATTTCTTTATTTTCCTTGTTCTACTTTCTTTGTGGTTAGGGATTGCCTCTATCTTGGTGATCATATCACCAGCACCTAGGATAGTGCCTGGCTCATAGCAGGTGATAAAGAAATGCTTGTTGGTTGACTGATAAAAATCAGAATTGTTGAGTTGGGGTTAAAAAATTAAAAAAAAACTAAAAAGTTGATCGGGGAATAAACCATATAAGTAAGAATCGGAAACAATTGATCAATTAGATGGGATGCTCCTCACACCACAGGCAGACAGTCCATCTCAGGCCTACACTTCACAGAAGCATAGAAACTCACCATTAAAAGGACTCAGGGGTTAAACCTACGTACCATCTAAAGGAGAAATAAAAAAGAAGTTCAAGGATTTAAGTTTCCACAAAGAGGATTCTTTTGGCTTTTTTCTTAGTCTATTCTGAACATTATACAAAAATCAAAAAGGAGAATCCTGACCTTTCTTGTGGAGATGTCACCTTCCCCCCCCAAAAAAATGGGAGAAGTGTCAGTGAACCCTGCTGCAGATGACAAGCAGTCTTATGAAAAGAAGGTCATAAAACTGAAGGCAGAATATGAAAATGAGATTGCTCCATAGCAGGCTAAAGGAGTCTGTGTGAGAAAGGGGAGTTGCCAGGGTTGAGAATTGCCACCGTGACCTACTCAACAGATCTTCACACAATCTTTGCATGAGGACATGCAATGAGGGAGAGCTCAGTACCTTCTAAAGCAGCCCGTTCCACTTTGGGATGGCATTAATTGTTAGGAAGCTTTCTTTCTCATATCCAGTCTAATTTGCCACTTTGCACTTTTAGCTTTGCATTGCATCATCCTCTTTATTTGAATCCCCTCTACAACTAGCTGGTGCAGTGGATAGAATGCAGTGACTTGAGTCAGAAACATCTGGATTCAAATCCAGTCTCAGACAGTTATTAGCTGGATGACCTTGGGCAAATCACTTAAGCTCTGCTTGCTTCAGCTTCCTCATCTATAAAAGGGGGATAATAATAGTATCTACCTCTGAATTTTTGTGAAGATCAAACGAGATATAGTTTTAATGTGCTTAGCATAGTACCTGGCCTGTAGTAAGCTCTATATAAATGTTAGCTATTATTATTTCTTCTCAGCACATTTTGAGCTTAGCATTCCTAAAACCAGGAGGCTCCATCCACACTTTTGTTTTTTCCCTTGTTACCTACATAAACTTGTATCTTGAAGCCTTTCCAGTTGCCAGAGTCTGTACTCTATCGGTATGGCCTTGGAGAAGCCAAGGCCTGCTCTTCACTATTCTGAGGCATCAGTGATGTAGGCTTTAGTGAAGAAACTATTTCACCACTTCCATTTAATTTTGACCTTTTAGCAAAATTCCTTTATTAAATTATAATTGAAAACATAAATTTGGGAATACTGAATAAAATAAAAACTAGGCAAATGTCATTGGACATATTTAATGTGAAAGGACATATTTTTTCAAAATAAGGCTAGATAGAAAACCAGGCAGTGACTATATGTGAATATGTGTACATATATATGTCTGTGTGAATGTATATTCACATATGTTCACATACATATTCACATATAACCACTGCCCAGTTATAAGATATTTATGTATGACCATATGTATGTATATCTACACAATATAGCCACTGCCTGGTTGTAAAATAGTGTATGTGTGTATGTATGGGACATAGGTATTCCTTAAAATCAGAAAGGGAGAGAGAGATGGTGAGAGAGAGAGAGAAAGGAAAAGAGAAAGAGACAGACAGAGAGGGAGTGTGTAAGCTCTGGGATAAAATTTCTTAGTGTGATACCTTGTGTTAGCAAGAAATATTTTTAAAGGGGTATCTGAAAAAGTTCAAGAAAAGTACTTAATTAGATTGTTCATTAATTTTAAGGACTATACAATATAAGAGGGAATTGTGCTTTAAGGACAAGATAAATCATCCCAATTAACTGCTATGGTTATCACAGAATTATTAGAGCTAGGCATAACTTAGCTTAACATTCTCATTTTATTGGTAAAAACACTCAGGACAAGACAGCTGAAGTGATTTGCCCAATTCCCTACAAAGCCAGTAGCAGAATTGGGCCTAAAAGCCCATTCTCCTTATTCCCAAGCCAGCACTCTTTCTTTAAAAAAAAAAAAAACAGATTTGTATTTACTTAAAAGCATTGCAATTGTCAACAACACAGCTGCAACTCCTTAACAGAGACAGGAGTAGAAATTATAGAGTGGTTTAACAGGACAACAATTATTTTGTATGCTGCATCAAAGACAACTGAAGGTAAAACGAAATATGTGAATGAGGCCCTTACTAAGTGCTTACCATGTACTAAGCACAGTACTAAGCACTGGGGATAAAAATAGAAAGGAAAGACAGCCTCTGTTCTCAGGGAGTTCCCATTCTAATGAGGGAGACGACACATATGGAAGGTTTCAGCTTCAAGTCAGATGGAATGGGCCTTATCAACAATGTCGCTGCCACTGATAAAATATCAGTTTTTGATGTTGAACCATTTGACAATGCCATGTGTCTCTCATATAATTGCAAACTGATAACCAGAATGACTGAATCAATGCACAGACCCACCAAAACCACATTATTAATACAATCTGTTTTCCCATAGTCTCTCCAATGTTGACTATGCCTGCTTTCTGTCATCTTTTCCAATTTTCAAAGTATGAGCTAAAAGAGTTGTTTTCATTGACATTTTTCCTCCATCATGATTTGGCCTATGTTTTCATGAGGTCATCCATAGTTTGCAAATCTTTTGAAGCTGTTTGTAAATATGCTTTGAGCACTTATCTATTGGGGAATAGTTTTATTTGTACAAGCTCTTTGTCTTCTAAAAAAAGAGCAATTCAGCTCTTTTCTACACCTTTAGGAAGAAAATAGGTCATCATCATCATCATTCAGGTCTTTTTTTCCACCACGGAGCTGCTAAGGTAAAATTACAGTCTCTTGTCTTATCATCATCATTAGTAGTAGTAGTAGTATAATAGTCAGCATTTATGTAGTACTTTAAGGTTTGCAAAGTACTTGTCATACATTTTCTCACAAAATCCTGTACATTATGTCCTATTATTGTCTCCATTTTACAGGGAGTCTGAGCACAGTTAGGTGAACAGGGTCATATAGCTAGGAAGCATCTGAAACATAGCTAGGAAACATTGAAACAGGTTTTGAACTTAGCCTTCTTAACTCTCAAATCTGACACTCTAACTGCTATGCCATCTGATGGCTTAGGTGTACAATCAAAGCTCTTAAACTCCACTAAGGAAAAAAATGCTAGGAGGGGCTTGAGAGAAACAGGGCAGGAACAAAGGTTGCAGTTGAGGTTTGAAGTACATTATCAGAGCTAAGTACCAAATTGTTAATGGCATTTAGAAGATCTCCATGTAGATAGAGACCCTAGTGGCAAATTAGTGCATCCTGTACCTGAACAACAATGCCCTTCCCGGTGCCCATCCAAGGTCCTTTTAAACATCTTCAGTAAAGGGGAACTCACCCCTTCCTGAAGCAATTAATTCAAACTTTAGTCACCTCCTTATTTTAAGAATTGTATCCTTAAAAGAGAGAGAAAAGCATAAATGGGGGGGGAAGAATGGAGAAAAAGACACAGATAGTAATCATAACTGTGAATGTGAATGGGATGAACTCTCCCATAAAACGGAAACGGATTACAGAATGGATTAAAAACCATAATCCTACAATATGTTGTTTACAGGAAACACATTTGACAAAGAGTGACACATACAGGGTAAAAGGTAAAAGGCAGGAGCAGAATATATTATGCGTCAGCTGAAGTAAAAAAAGCAGGGGTAGCAATCCTGATCTCTGATAAAGCAAAAGCAAAAATAGATCTAATCAAAAGAGATAAGGAAGGAAACCACATCCTGCTAAAAGGCACCATAGACAATGAAGTAATATTACATTAAATTGAAAAGTTTTTGCACAAACAAAGCCAATGCAACTAAGATTAGAAGGAAGGTAGAAAATTGGGAAAGAATTTTTACAACCAGTCTTTCTGATAAAGGCCTCATTTCTAAAATATATAGAGAATTAAGACAAATTTATAAGAATACAAGCCATTCCCCAATTGATAAATGGTCAAAGGATATGAACAGACAGTTCTCAGATGAAGAAATTAGAGCCATCTATAGTCATATGAAAAAATGCTCTAAATCGTTATTGATTAGAGAAATGAAAATCAAAACAACTCTGAGGTACCACATCACACCTATCAGATTGGCCAACATGACAAAATAGGAAAATGATAAATGTTGGAGAGGATGTGGGAAAATTGGAACGCTAATACATTGTTGGTGGAGTTATGAAATGATCCAACCATTTTGGAGAACAATTTGGAACTATGCCCAAAGGGCTACAAAAATGTGCATACCCTTGGATCCAGCAATAGCACTTCTAGGGCTATATCCCAAAGAGATCAGACAAATGGGAAAAGGATCCACATGTACAAAAATATACATAGCAGTTCTTTTTGTGGTGGCAAAGAATTGGAAATTGAGAGGATGCCCATCAATTGGGGAATGACTGAGCAAGTTGTGGCATATGAATGTAAGGGAATACTATTGTGCTATAAGAAATGATGAACAGGCTGACTTCAGAAAAACCTGGGAAGACTTATATGGTGGGATGCTGAGTGAAGTGAGCAGAACCAAGAGGACTTTGTACACAATAGCAGCCACTTTATGCAATGACTAAGAATGTTAAACTGAACCCTTCTCAGCATTACAAGGATCTAAGACATCTCCAGAGGCCTCAGGATGGAAAATGCTGTCCACATCCAAAGAAAGAACTATGGAAGTTGAATCACTCTCACTTATTTTTACCTTCTGTTGAGTTTTGTTTCATCTTTCTGATGGTTCCTCCTATTGGTTTTAATTTTTACTTACAACTTCACTAATGTGAAAACATGTTTAATGGGTATGTAAATGTAAAGCCTATGTCAGATTGTGTACCGTCTTGGTGGGGGGGAGAAAAAGGGAGGAACATTTTCAACTTAAAAGCATATGGAAAAAATAATTAAAAAATAAAAATTATATATAAAAAAAGAATTATATCCTTATACTGATCCAAAAGCTGCATCCTTTTAATTAATTCTCCCTTGAGGTCCGAAACAAGGCTAGTTCATATAATATTATTCTGCATTTGCTACAAGCAAATACCATTTGCTCATGTCATGTTATGGTGACTAGATATTCGAATCTGTTATACTAGCAGACATTTAACTTTGACTTCAGTATTACTCACTAATTCTATCTTTGGATGGGCATTAAAACCTTCCCATACCCAATGCCTAGCACCAGAAACCTTTCCCTAGGCACTGGGAAATATAGTTTTAAAAAAATCCTGGACTTGGAGAGACCAGGGCTCAATTTCTGCTTGTGATATTAACTGCCAAACTTTTGACAAGTCACTTACCCTCTACAAGTCTCAGTTTCCTCATCTGCAAAATGGGTATGTAAATGTAAACTGCTTGTAATGAGAAGCAGCAGAGTATACTGTATGGAGAACCGATAAGGAAAACTTGTGTTCAAGTTTCACCTGTCTGATATAGTGACTGACTCGGGGCAAATCACTTACCCTCTCAATGACTCAATAACCCTAAGACTAAAAATTGAAGTAACAAGAAAAACTGGTATTCTAATTTGGTTATAACAATATAACATTAATATAATGACTCACATTTATAAAACCCATCAAGATTTACAAAATCCTCTTCGTACTTATTTGATCTTCACAACAATCCCGTAAGGAAGCTGCTGTTATTATCCTTATTTTATTGGCAAAGAACTCAAGAGAGGGTAAGCAATATGCACAGCATACCACAGTAAGACTCTGATGAGGGATTCAAACCAATGTTTTCCTGTGTCCAAGGCCAGCATTCTTTCCACTATGCAAGGATATCTCTATGTAGACAAAAAAAGAATAGTGGGAAATAGAATTGGAAAAGAAAATCAGAGTTATATTATTACATTTTATTTCCAGGTAAAGGAATATATATATTTCATTAAATTTTTTCCTATAGGCAGCATTTAACCACTTTTTTAACAGAGGAATAATATGCCTAGATTCATACATTATAATGATTAATCTGATAGATAAATGAAGGAGAAGTTAAAGAGAGAAAAGACTATCAGAAAAGATAGAAATTAGAATATCATTAAAATAATACAGGTGAGAGGTAATGGAGGCTAAAACTGTGGTGGTAACAATATGAGTAAAGACGTGGAGGCAGATGTAAAAGATATTCTGGAGGTAAATTTTTAAATTAAATATCTTTTTTTGCAATTAGTCATTTGTTTTTCTCTTCCCCCACTGAAAAGCAAAGGAAAGCCACATCTTTGTGACAAATGTGCATAGACAAGCAAAATTAATTCCCATATTGGCTATGTCATACACACACACACACACACACACACACACACACACACACACATACACACACACACACACACAGAGTTGGGTACAGAAATTCATTTTACCCAGCAGGGAAGTAGGAGGAGAACAGGCTAAGAGAAAGGGAGGGGTGATGATTAAGGAAGTCAGTGGATAGAAAATCAAGTGACTTGTGCAGGGTCACATAGCCAGTATGTGTCAGAGGTAGCACTTACATCAAGTGCTTGCTGACTTTGAGATTGACCCTCACTTTACTACAGCCTCATTATACTAATGTTAAAGGTTTATAAAAAGACTTCAAAGAAGTCCTCTGGTATGTTGGGTAGAGCTCCCTTACATGGAAGATACAAGAAAAGACATTAGCAAATATCACATAGGAAAAAAAAAGCATGAGTGAGTCATACAGTTCATGGATGGAGGAAGTGTTCATGTTTATGAGGTTATGGAGCCATTAAAGAATGAAACTATTACCTCTGGGAGTTGCTACTGGCTAAAAACACAAACAGATTCCAGGATTACTATAAACAAATTCACAGGTAGTTATAGCTTGCACAGTGCACTACATAGAACAAAGACAGGAAAAGGTACTTGATTTGTGATTTCTTTGGTGTAGAGAATTCCTAGATAAAGAAATTCCCTCTACCTGTTCATTTCAGCTCCTCTCTGCAACTTTATATAGCCTTATAGTTTCCAGGGGGGGACTGAGAAGTGATTTGACCAGGATTTCATTGCCAGTAGGTGTCAGAATCCAAACTTAAATCTCTCCCAGACTCTAAATCCAGCTATCAATTATTTCATAGGGGGTGTATGAGGTGATCAGGAAGGACTAGCACCTCTGGTGTGAGGGCTTGCCACCTCTTTTCAGGGCTGCTCATCCACTTTTGGTGTCCACCTGGCACCCAACTCTCACCTGTGGCTCCAAGAATCTGTAGGATTGCATTGGCCTAACTCCAGTAAAACTGTCTTGGCAGATGGGCAAAACAATGTTGAGCAACTTCAAACCTGTTGGTGAGTTAGGGGGATGTCTACCCCAAACATGTGAAGACTTCTTAAGGTACAATGGGCAGATAAGAATAATTTGTTCCAGTGGCCATGAAGGTGGCTGAAGCAGGTGCTATGAAGTGCTTAGAACATGGTCAGACATGGAGTAGGCCAAGTTCATCCACTGCAACCCAGGCCATTGCCAGTCTTCCTGAGTTTTGTCTTGCCACTGGACTTAGATGACTCTGGAAGAGAGAGAGTGACGATTTTGTGCAATTCACATGCAAGTCAAGACATCACTCCGTGATGTCATCGGTCCTCTTAGAAAACACAGGATGAACCACAACAACCACCTGACCTCTCTCAAATCACAAATTTGCTACAGACTTTACTGGAAATCCTAGAGGAAACAAAACAAGTTTTTAAGTAATCACATAAATGAAATGAGAGCTCTAGAGGAAAGAATAGGAAAGGATATGGTGGTTCTAGATAAAACAATTGGAAGGAATGGAACCAGAAAGGGAATAAGCATTTATATAGTGCCTACTATGTTCCAGGCACTTTGCCAAGTGCCATATAAATATTATACCATTGATCCTCACAGCAATCATGTGAGGTAGGTAATGTTATTACCATCATTTTACTGTTGAGGAAACTTGAGGCAGGAGTTAAGTGACTTTCCTAGAGTCATGCAGCTCATAAGTGAAGTTGGATTTGAATTCAAGTCTTCCTGACTCCAGGCCCAGCACTCTGTCCACTGTGCCACCTAGCTATCTCTAAGGCAAGTTCTTCTGGAAGGAAAATAAACATCTTATTACTAGAGGTTCAAAACCTTACTCAGGTAGGAGACTTTCAAAATCAGATTGGAAAAGGCAAAGATCAAGGATTTGATGAAATAATACTAATAAAAGAAAATCAAAAAAATTTAAAAAGAAAAAGAAAAAGAAAATCTAACATTAGTTCTCTACCTACTTCCTATTTTTCCAGCTTTCCCTCATTATACTCTAGGGAAAAAAACAATAATAACAACTCTTTCCTTCTCATTCATTTTTCCTTATCTTACATGTGAACTAAATGCATGGCTTGCCTATATCAAAAAAGGAAAATCATGGAGTTTAAAATACAATGAACTATAACCTCTTTAACCTTTAAGAATGCCTAAGTGTTAGGGCAGCTAGGTGGTGCAGTGGATAGGGTATCGGCCCTGGAGTCAGGAGGACCTGAGTTCAAATCTGGCCTCAGACACATAACACTTACTAGCTGTGTGACCCTGGGCAAGTCACTTAACCCCATTGCCTAGCCCCCCCCAAAAGAATGCCTAAGTGTCCTCAGTTGTCTCCACCAAAAGGATTGCATATTATTTTTAACCATTTCTATTAAATCTGCTTTCCCTTATGAACTCATATACATTTTTTTAAATTTTTCTACATTGTTTAACTGCTACAGTTGGAAAAGATCTATCCCCTGGGTCAGCCTGAACAAATCTACTCCCTCTTCTTCATGACAACTCTTCACATACTTAAGGGCAGTTGCATCTTCCCCAAACCTTCTTTTGTCCATACTTAACATCCAAAATCCTTCTATTTGTCTTCTGATGTAGTCTCTTACCACCTTGGTTTCTCCCTTGATGCTTTCCAGCTTGCTAAAAAATCCTTCCTAAAATGTAACTGTGTTCCAATATTATTATTTTCTTTTATTTTTATTGCAAATATGAAGAATTTCCATTATTTTTAAGATATCCCTTAGTAGACTACCCCAAGGACCATATGTGTGAGAAAATACAGTCTGAAATACAAAAAAGCTGATTTACAAATGGACCTTTGGAGCATAAGCCAATCAAAAGTAGGTACATGAACAGCAGACTGTGTGATGTACTTTCTAACCTTTGGAGCACAAGCCATTTAAGGACTTCCTAAGTAGAATTACCATTTTAGAATGACAAGATCATAGAATTCATGGCTAGAGGGGGCATCAGAGGTTATCTAATCCAACCCCTTTATTCTACAGATTATTAAATGTAGACACCACACACCCCCTCCAAGTGGCTAAGTTATCTGAACAAGGTCACACAGGTAGTAAGTGCCAGAGCTAAGATTCAAACTCAAGGTGATTGACTTCTAAACCAGTGCTCATTCTTCTTCAACAAGCTGTCTCCCAAACAAGTTAAGATTTATTAAGAGCACACTATGCATCAGATACCTTGCTAAGTCCTGGGAATACAAAAGAAAGGCAAAAAAACAGTTTCTGCTTTCAAGGAGTTCACATTTTAGTAGGGGAAGACAAGTAGGATTGAGGAGTGTCGTTGGAAGAAAGAAAGTAGTGGGACAAGGGAGAAAAAGTAATCAGCTATGTCAAGAACCAAACTCTATGGTCAGAAGATAACCCTCTGTTCACTTCTTAATTTTTCATCAAAATCATTTTGAAGTTATTACATGAAACTTTTTACTGTTTTAGTAACATTATCTGAATGCTTGATATAAATTATCGTTTTTGTAAGCAATGTTTTTCTCTCCATAAGTTTTCATGATTTTGATGGGTGATATATAGAAATGATTTTGTCTGATTATCTGTTACCTTGCTAACCTAATTTATTATTGTAGATTTTTTAATTGTTGTTAAGTAGCTTGGGTTTTCTGGATCTACAATTGTGCTTTTTGAAAATAGGTATATTTTAGCTCTTTCATTAACAATGCTGTTTTCTGTGATTTCTTTGTATGCCATATTATTTCTTAGAAATGCATCAGATATAAGTGGATAGCTCTGCTTTTAATATTAATAGCTTTCATGTTCCTCCATTGGATATAATTCTAGCTCTTATTTTTAAATAATTTTCTTATATTAAGGAGTGTTCGTTCTAATATTGTATTTAAATTTTTTTAACACAAATAAGTGTTGCATTTTTTGAAGATCTTTTCTACAGCTAATGTTATATCTTTTTTTTTTTGGCTAGGCAATGGGGTTAAGTGACTTGCTGAGGGTCACACAGCTAGTAAGTGTTATGTGTCTGAAGCCGGATTTGAACTCAGGTCCTCCTGAATCCAGGGCCAGTGCTCTATCCACTGTGCCACCTAGCTGCCCCCAGCTAATGTTATATCAATTTACAGTTTTTCTTTACAGTCACAATGCTTCTTTTCTTATTATTAATTGATCTCTGTATTTCAAGTATTAATTTACTTGACTATAATGAGTAACTTTTAAATGTAGTGCTACACACTATTTGCCTGCATTTTAATATCTCACATTGATTTTAATAAATGGTCATGACCAACTTTTTCCACCATATCTTGGTTAGATATGTATAGCATCAAGTCTTTATATTTAGGAATAATCTATGTAATATAAAGATATTTTATTCTTTGATGGATTACAGGAATTCAGATGTGAATCCATTCATTTCCAGTACCTTTCTATGGGGAAAATCATTAAAAGTCTGACCAATTTCTTCTGATGAGATTGGTCAATTTACATTATACATATGTACTTCCTATTTTATCAGTTTAGATATTCACCCATTTCATTTACATTTTCATCTTTATTACCTCTGTATAGCAGTCTGTCCATTTCACTTTCATAATTTTGGTAATATGCTTCTTCTCTACCCTCTTAAAAATAATTGATCTTATTACACTTTAGCCTTTGGAGATATTTTCAAAACAACTTATGAAATAAACATTTACTAAGTGCTTAATGTGCTAGGCACTGGGGATCCAAACACAAGAGTGAAAGAGTCCCTACCCTCAAGGACCTTACCTTCTATTGAGAGAGAAAACATATATGTGCATGCATACATACATACATACATACATACATACATGCACACATGTAAGTGTGTATGATATTTTGTGTACTCATACACACATATAGATATATACTACTTACACTAAATATACAGGGTAATTAGGAGGGAGAACTAGGAAATGGAGGGCTTAGAATAGACTTTATATAGTGTTTGAGTTGAGTCTTAAAGGAAATGATTCTAAGAGTCTGAGGTGACAAGAGAATGTATGCCAGGCATGGGGATTCATCATTCCAATGTTGGTACACATTCCTTTAAGCTTCCAATCCTCGACAAATTTAACAGATATGCCTTTGGCACTTTTATCCAAGTCATTAATAAAGATGTGCAACAGAATAGGGCGAGAATAAAGCCAAGTACCACTTGAGCAGAGACCACCTTAGGTTAACATAAACCTATTAATCATTACTCTTTTAGTCCAGTCATCCAACCAGTTACAAATCCATATAAATATACTATCAAACTATCCACATTTATCCATCTTGTCCACAAAAATATCATGACACTTTGCAAATGTTTTGTTGAATTTCACTTAAGCTATCTATGACATTACCTTGATCTAACTTACATATTCTTGATGGAACAACTCTAATCCAGCTCACCTCTTGGTACTCCATCCTATTTTTTGATCTGTAACCCAGAGGCCTTCTCACACTGGAGACACATTCACTACTGTGACTTCTTCCTCAGATTGCCAAGTTCCTTTTCTGAACCTCCATTTAAAAAAACTGCCCATGTCAATCATGCCCAACTCTAACCCAGCTCAGGTTCTTACTCAGCAGATTACTTTTCCACATTCTTCCAATACTTGCTTTCCCCCAACTGCACCCCCCATCCCACTTTTCAGCTCCCTTTTATGTATTGTCTGACCACACTAAAATATAAGCTTCCTTAGAGCAGAAACTGGTCTTTTTTGGTTTTTATTTGTTTGTTTCTTTTTGCCTTTGTATCAGTAGGACTTAGCAAGGTACCTGATGCATAATGGCCTCTTAACAAATGCTTATTGATTTGGCTTGACTTGAAATTTGGCAAGCAAAAGAAGTTGAAATTTATTTAGCAGATAATAGGAAACATTTTTATTTCAGAATAGGAAGTTTTGGGGTTTGGTTTTTGTAATTTTTTTTAGCAGAAGTATGATTCGACCAGATTTATATATGAGAAAGAGAGGTTATTCCAAAAGCAATACAAAGACTAGTTTGTAGAGGGGAGAGAATAGTGGCAGAGAGGTCTGTTAGGATATTGTTGCTATAGTTTGCATAGGCAACAATGAGAATTTGCACTAGGGGGGCAATGGGAATGGAAAGAACTGAGATCCAAGAGCTGTAGAGACTTAATCAGCAGAACCAGGTAACTGGTTGGATATGAAAGTAAAGGAGAGCTAGGTGTCAGAAATAATCCTAAGATTTTGAACATGAGGAGTCAGGCATAAATGGTGATTGACAGGCAGACAGAGTAAACTCAGAAGGAATAGCAGGTGTAGGGGAAAGATAGTAAATTTGTTTCACATGCTTTTGAGCCATCCAGGTAGAAATGTTTTATAATTAGTTGGAGATATAGCTTTAGATCTCAGAGGAGAGATCAGTGCTGAAGACAGAGACATGTAAATCATCTATGTACAGCTTAGTAGTGGAAGCCAAAGTTGTTAATATGATGGCTGAGTGAAAGAGTATGTAGAGAGAAGACAACCAAAGAGAAACATTTGGGGAATTCCCAAATTAATGTGTTGTGAAGAGGATGAGAAGACTTTGAAGGAGAAAAGGAGAGATTAGTTACAGAGGCAGGAGGAAACCATGAGAATATGGTATTTCTGAGACCAAAGGGCTGAAAATAAAGACCTATGCATTTGGTTATTGGAATGCCACTGATGACCTTAGGGAAAACAGTTTTACCAGAGTTATGAGAGTGGAAACAAAATGGCAAACAGTGGAAGAGAAAGTGGGGCACTCAGAAATTGTTGTCATTGGGAGTAGACAACTTTTTCAAGTTTAGTATAGGCATGAGGGTGAGAAATTAGACATTGACTAGACAAGAAAGCTCAAGAACAGTCTTTTTGGTGCTTGGGAGACCAAATTATGCTTTGGAACAGATGAGACTGAGTCAGTGGAATGGGGAGAACTGAAAATTTGTGAAAGAGGTAATGACAGCTGAAGCAAGGTACTGGAGGAGATGGAAGGAAATGGAATCAGCAGTGTAAAAAAAGAGATTAAATTTGCTGAAGAGTAAGAATCTTCCTATTCTCTAAGAGAAAGAAAGGAGAGGGTCAGAGATGATACAAAGTTATACAGAATCAAAGATAACTAAAGGAGTCAATGCTAAATGATCTTAATATTCTCAATAAAGTAGGAATCATCTGCTACTTTGCTACTATGAAAAGCTAAGATGCAGTTAGGTGGAGGGGGACAGGAAAAAGAAGATGCAAAGGAGAGAAGAAAAGGATGGAAAATGTGCCTCTAGGAAATGGGATAGGCGGTCACTATGGTTAGACTAGAAGGACTGTCACACTGCTGTAGATGGTCAGATTATATATCATGAGTTTATGTCAGATGAAATCAGCTCTATTCTGTAACTTGGGCACTGGAGCAACAGGGGTAGATAAATTGAATGGCAGTTGTTATCCAGGAGTGAGAATTTGTAGGTTAGAAACACAGGAAAGTCAGTGATACAAGTGAAATTTTAAAGTGTCTTTGACTTTGTTTAGAGAAGGCTGACCCTGCTGGTAAACTAATTTCAGTCTGCATGAGACATTGCAGTATGAGACAAGGGAAAAGGTATTTTGCTGAATCCAAGGGTGTTCTGGAGCCAGCTGGTACTAGCTCAGAAGAGCTGATTGTTAAATTTTTCAGTGAAAGTATTTAAACCCTCAGCAACTGGCAAACATGGCAAGTCAGGGTTATGTTAATAGTCTAGGCATAAGAAAGTGAAGAAAAAAATGTCAATAATACAAATTAAAATTTAAAGTTTATCCTGTATACATTTTTTTTCAGAGAGCTACTTATTAAACATTGCTCAGCCTACCCTAGGCTACATCTCTTTAAAGGACCATTCACAAGTACTTTGAATCTATTCTATAAAGAGGAGTGGGATTCAATTAATAGCAGATCTTAGGAAAAATCAGTAAGTACAGATGCAGTCTTTCTACTCAGTGTATATTTATAAAAGTATGCAGGAACTGGTTCCAGAATTGAATATGATACAGAGGGCAGGATGAATTGCTTCTAAGAAATTACTTAGTGCTTTTAAAGACTCCCCGAAACAAATGCCTATCTTTTTAATATCAATATTATTCTGATGATGTTGTTTGGTTGTGAGTCATAAAATACCATTTTCTCAAGAATTAATGTTGAAGGTCACCCAAAGAGAGATGAGAGGCATATGGTGGGCTTGAGTAGGCAGATTCACATTACCAATGAATAATGACAGAAAAGACCATGTATAAAAAATGCTATCATAGAGAGATGTAAAACCAAAAAAGGCTTCACGTCATGTGGTGAGAGCAAGAAATCACTAACTGATTGGCACTCTACATTCTACATAAATAGTTACTCAGTGCCAAGAAATCTAGAGAAAGATTCCTTGAAACGCTGGGTAGACCCATCTGAAGAACATCTAGGGGAGTGGCGATTATAGTTACTTAGGTTGAGAAAGCATGGATGGCTCACAATCTCCATCAATGGAGGCAGTATTCATGTTGGTGAGATCATAGATCCATTGAAGTGTGAATTAATAAAGCACTTATTTCATGTTACAATGCTCCATTTTTCAAAACCTATTATTCCCATTACACTTCTTCCTTTTATTCTTTTTATGGAAAATACTACTCTTTTCAGTAAGTACACATAGAGGACCATTGTGACACACCTTCAAAGCTTTAAAGCTAGGAAAAATCTTAAAGGCTATTGAGTCCAAACACCTCATGTTATAGATGGAGAAGCCAAGACAAAGTTAAGTGATTTTCCCAGAATCACACAACTAGTAAGTATCTAAAGCAGGATTTGAACCTAGGTCTTCCAGACTCCAAATCCTGCACTTACACCACCATGCCTCTCTACATGGCACCATTCACTTAAACAGCTATAACTTCTTTCTCAAATGCCCTTAAGCATCTTTACAATCCAAATCTTAATAAGGAATTGGAGTTGGTATCATTGGAGCGTTCTTGGAAGTACTGAACACTGATGTGTTCTACTGAATTGCCACATGTTCACTCTTACTACAGCCTTCACAGTCATATGCTTTTATATTTGTGACTTCAAAGATCCATGATTTCATTCCTGTGGATAATCACTCCTTTGATACAAATGTGACTTCTCTATGCTTTATTAGATGTTTTAATAGTTGTTGTGGGGAGAAAAAAAAATAAGAATGTTATCTCACCTGGTGGCCAACCTTCTGATGAGAAATCTCTCTAAACTCAGCTGGATTAGCTTTTAGGCAACAAACATGTCAGTTTCCAGTTCTATATCTGAAACCTTTTCAGATGGGTAGGACCAGCCAGAACTTGAGCTCTCCTGGTGCAACCTTCAAGACCTCAGGATCACTTCCACAGTAAGACTGTGAAGAGAGTGGGAATCTAGTTGAGAGGGGAGAGCAGAGAAGGAAGTTAGGGAGAAGAGTCACACACGCATACAAAATGAATACAGGAATTCATGAGGGAAACTCTTTATCTTTAATCTTAGTCAGTAGTTCAGTCAATAGAGCACTGATCCTGGAGTCAGAAAAACCTGAGTTCAAATCTGGACAAAGATACTAGCTGTGTGAGCTTCAGCAAATCACTTAACCTCTATTTGCCTTAGTTTCCTCAGCTATAAAATGGGGATAATAATAGCATCTACCTCTCACAGTTGTTATGAAGATCAAATGAGATATTTTTAAAGAACTCAGCACAGTGTCTGAAATATAATAGGTGCTACATAAATGCTAGTTATCTTCATCATTATTATTATTAGTCAATCAGAAAACATTTATGGAATGCCTACCATTTGCAAGGCACTGTGTGCTAAGCTCAGGGAATACAAAGAAAAGCAAAAGACTGTACTTACCCTCAAGGAACTCACAATATAGATAACAGAAAAAGAGAAGATGATGTATGCAATTGTTATTCTATTGAAAAGATGGCTGCAGATATAACAGTAGATAAGGAAAATGCTATTCATCCCTAACAAGCTTGCCATTTGTTAACCCCTTCAAAAGTTCTTTCACGTTTTTGTTACAAACTTGTGTAACTTCACTTGAAAGGTTTTGAGGAGAAATTAATTTTCCAAAATTACTAGAGACATAGGTTATCAATAATATATTTGCTTGTTGCTGGTAACACATTTGATGTTCATTGTGTGGACAGCATGGAATGTACCTGCTCTATAATTACAATAGAGATAGATTTATTCTGCCGCCTCATTGAGTAATCAGTCAGCTGTTGCCTTCTTGCATTTGAACAAGTTTTATTGCCAATAATGAAATCATGAAGCAGAAGATGAAGTCTGTAGAAGAGCTTGGTGTGTGTTTCATCTGCAGCATTGTTGAGGATGAGATGAGAGAGAAATTGCTTTCATACTTGCAGTTCTTGAGGCAGGATTGCAAGTACATTAGAATTATTTATATTTTGGATTTCTTAACAAAGTTGACTTAAAATTTAATAAAAATCTCCCTTACATCAAAATCTCAAGATCAATGATCCTTGGAAAGACAGTGTAACAAGGCAGATTCAAAAAAGACTAACATTTCCTTTATATAAGAGCTTCTGATTTCAAATACGTATCATTGATGGGCATAAATGTGCAAAGACAACTTATTTCTAGTTCGACAAAAAAGAAAATTTCCTGAGTCTCTTTCATTCAACTTTCTTCCCACTCCAATATATCTTCCACTTAGCTGCCTAGGTGATTTTTCTAAATCATAGGTCACTCTTCCTATTCAATGATTTCCAGTCGCTCCCTATTACCTCCAAGATCAAATATAAACTCTTTTTTTTTTTGTCATTTAACTCTCTTTACAAGCTTCAGATAACTATGTCTATATCCTAAACTCAAAACAATAGTAAATTACAGTCCTAGGAATTTTTACCCTTCCTACTTTTATAGACTTTTGTACTGTAAGACCCTCTCCCTGTTAACCTCCCTCATCCCAGATCAGATTCCCAAATAAAGGTTTAAAAAATGCTAGAAAATTTCTGGGAAACTTGAATTACATTCCAGTTATAGAAATGTATTATCTGTGTAGTCTTAGACAAGTCGTCTCCGTTTGCCCCAGTTTCCTAATTTGTAAAGAGAAAAAATAATCATGGTACCCATCTCCCAGGGTTGTGTAAGGATCAAAATGTTATAATGATTATAAAGTGCTTAACACAGTGACTGGCATGTGCTAAGCACCACATTATTATTACTTCTTTAATTGAATGTAATTATTCCACACCTGATAACTCTAAAGTGGTTTTAAAATGCCAAAGGTAATAAGATTAATGATTTTTACTTGTGATAATTTGGAAATGCAATTAATTTCATCTGAGGTTTTGTTTCATGTTTTAAATACATGATATTGTTTGTGTCGTATTTCTAAATTCTCTCATGTTGGGAAATTTAAAAGACATTGTAACAGAAATTCTATTAGGCAAAACAACTTTTTAATCTAGATGCTGTTACATATGAATTGGGCTTTTAAAAGGGTGTGATAAAAATAGGTATTTGAAAATTGTTAAATATTTAATGAGGTATATCTTGTTACAAAGCAGATAATAAGTTTACTATAATACTGAATTTTCATTTGAAATTCTTGGCTATTGTAAAAGTGTATAGGGTAGTTTAAAGACATAGCTTTGACATATTAATGATGAATCAACTATCAGGTATTTGCTGTATGTCTACAGCCACAGAATATGGGTAGTTTTCATGTATAAGTAAAGGATAAACAAAATGTTAACTGTTAGGGATACACCAGGAAAGATGTTCAAGCCCTAAGCTGTGGTTAGTGAAATTTTGCTATTTAAGGTAGAAATTCCTGGGACTGTAATTCACTATTGTTTTGAGTTTTGAATGCAGGGGTAGTTATCTGAATTATCATGAAGCCAAGAGTAGAAAATGGCATGTGCCGTAGTCTGGGAACTGCTAATGGTGAATATCTATACCTGAGAAAAATTTTGGGGACAACCATGGCACAGCCTAGGTAGGATCCTCCTGACTGTATTTCCCCATTGTGCTATTTCCTTGCTGAAAAGGAAATTGCTCCACCTGGTTAATCCTGAGCCTTGCCCTATGACTACATGATTGGCTATCAGATGTGACTCAAACAGATGATACATGACATTGTTATAACTATATCCATCTTTTTCCTTTTATAGCAAATTTCTGTAATGAAGAAGTATTGTAAGTACAATACTAAATCCATTAAATAATAGGTCTATACTGGAATATCTCTGATACAATAGGATGCAAGTATGAATATCTTATAATTTTAACCTATATTTGTGGTCAAATTATAATATGAGATGATATCCTCCTAAGGGGAAAATAATAAAAGAAAGTAATAAGACAAAGATGTAATATGAAAGTTTTCTAATTAAATAGAATGATACATTTTGAGAAAAGCAACAGGATTAGATTGTTTTCTCTAAGAACTATATACAGATATATATATATCATTGGCTTCCAAAATTTATGTATCATGAAATTCAGGCTTTGAGCGTGTTTTGATCCTAAGTTCTCAAAATTGTATTTTACACATAAATTGTATTAATAATGGTAAAGAAAGTGAAATTACTTTCCCATTATTAAAGTATCTTTCTGATAACCTTAAAGGGCAGAAGAGTTCATTCACAGTTGGGCACTCATAAATTTTTAAAAGATTCTTACATCAGGCACAGGATTTATGTAAGGTTAGAAATAGCATATGGCATATAAACTGAAATTCTCTGAAGTTTCAGAATTATCTAGGAACCTCTAGATTTGGAACCAGAGAAACAGAACCCCGTTTAGAGTTGTCCTAAGAATAAAGCTTATTGTTCAAGAAAAGATATCTAGGGACCAGATGACTACATGAGATATCTGGGAGGGCTGGTTAAATGTATGTTGAGAATGGGTCACTAGAATACAAGGAGATTTGATTTTAGTTATGTTTAAGTTTTCTTGGTTACATTGGTGACATATAAATCTCTCTTCTCAGAACTAGTCAACCTCTATGTGAGTGCTTGCCTTGTGTAAGTTCTCTGTAAAATGGTCTTTTTGGCAAACTTAATTTGGCATTCAAACAATGTGGCCATCCCATAGGAGTTGTGCTTTCTGCAGTAGAGTAGAATCCTTAGCTTGAGAAAGGACTTCAGTGTTTGGTATCTTACCTTGCCAGGTGATATTCAGATTCTCCCTAAGACCATTCAAATGGAAGCAATTCAGTTTCCTGGCAATGGTTCACTGTCCAGATTTCACAGGCATACATCGATAAGGTCAGCATAACAGCTCCATAAACCTTCAGTTTGGTAGGCAAACTAATATCTCTTCTCTCCCACACTTTCCTTCAGAGCCTCCCAAATGCTGAGCTAGCTGCAGCAATGTATGCATCAACCTCATCATCTATGTGTACATCCCTGGAAAATATATTGCCAAGATAAGTGATCTTATCCACAGCATTCAAAATTTGCCCATTTGCTATAACTGATGGTTTCACATATGGATGGTGTGGTGTTGGCTGGTGGAGAACCTCTGTTTTCTTGGTGTTAATTGTTAGGCCAAAATTAGCACAAGTGGCAGAGAATTCATCCATACTTTGTGTGTGTGTGTGTGTGGTGTGTGTGTGTGTGTGTGTGTGTGTGTATACAGGAGCAGAGGGCTTTGAATACGATATATTGGGAAGCAAAGGATCTAGAATTATAACCAAGAATAACCTACCTAGAAAAACTGAGTACACACACACACACACACACACACACACACAAACAAAGAAAGAGAGAGAGAGAAAACTGGATGTAGAATTCTATCTTACCCAACAAGGAAATAGGAAGGAAAGAAAATAAGGGAAAGGAAGTGGATTGATAAAAGGCAGAGAGGATTAAGGTAGGCAATGGTCAGAAGCAAAACAAACTTTTGAGAAGGGACAGAGTAAAAAGATGAAGAGAAGGATAAACAAAGAAAATAGGATGGAGGAAAATAACAGTTAATAATCATAGTCATTAATGTGAATGGGATGAATTCACCCTTAAAATAGAAACGAATATCAGAAAGGATTAGAAACCAGAATCCAACAATATGTTGGTTGCAAGGAACACTCTTGAAACAGAAATACACAGGGGCTAGAGGAGAATCTATTGTGCTTTAGCTCAGATGAAAAAGGCAGGGGTACCAATCATGATCTCAGACAAAGCACAAGCAAAAATAGATCTAATTAGAAGATATAATCAAATAAACTATATTTTTCTAAAAGGTATAGGCAATGAAATAATATCAAAATTTTTACAGCAAGTTCCTCATATAAAGGAATTGAGTCAAATTTATAAAAAATAATAGGCATTCCTCAGTTGACAAATGGTAAAAGAATATGAACAGGCAATTTTCAAAAAAAATCAAAGCTAACTATAATCATATTGAAAAA